CGGAAAAGAAGGAAAGCGGGTGGGGTAGGGAAATAACAAGAGCATTTCGATCTGGGGTGCTCACCATTTACCAGGAAAAACCGGAATTCCCGGTCGGAAAGCAAACAGTGTGTGTCATTCTGTTAGGAAAGTTCCACTTTTCCCGCTCTTTTCAGTTCTTCCGGTGAACGCGTGTACCACTTATCAGAAGTCATAGTTTCCCGCTCTTTTCTTACATTAGCAAACGAATTTCCAACAAAATGAATTGGGTTAAATGGTATGCATCCCTGATCTGCAAGCCAGTATATTAATTCTTACATCAGAGAGATAGAGATACTAAGGGCAATAACAGGACTATCTAGTAGTCAATATATTGCATTCCCCACTTAATTTTGGACTCTGAGTGTGTCTTGGATTCCAGATTTTCCAGATTTCAAATCTTGAAATTCCAGGTTCGGGGCGGTAGCAAGGTAAAAAATATATGGGGCATCACGGGCTCTCAATAGACAACTGGCACTAACAGGTCACGTGATCCCACCCCTTATAAAAACCAGCAAATGAGTCAAAATGAACTCCAGAAATGAAAAGCGAGAAAAGAAAAAAAAAAAAAAAAGAAAGAAAAAGAAGAAGGAAAATCAAATTTAATGACATTCAGAATCAACATTGCTAAATAAACATGAATCGTTTCTTAAATAATTTATTTTATTTTATTTTCATTTTATTACCATTATCACCCAAGTTTTGGAAGTGCATTATGATTTTTCTTCCAATAGCATTCGCCAGAATACCTGAAATGAGTTAAAAGAACCAATTAGACCTTCATATGCTTTACCTTGGGTGTAATGGTTTTGCATTAGCCAAAGCCAAAGCCAAATTAGACCTTCATATGCTTTACCTTGAGTGTAATGGTTTTGCATTTCAGACCATTCTCATTATATTACAGTAGACTCTCTTTGAACGACCACTCTCGTAAGCGACCATCTCCCGTGAGCGACCATTTTTTGAATTTCCCATTTTGTTCCCCATATAAACTCTGTAAAAAAAACTCTCTCGTAAGCGACCACTCTCGTAAGCGACCGCGACCACCTTTGGAGTTAAAATGTTGGAATTTTTCATTGTTTTTCCTCTCCCGTAAGCGACCAACAAAGAGCCAGTCAATGACAGATCTTTTAAAAATAAAAAAATTAAGAACATAGAGTCATCGGGTATTAAAAACCCGACGAAATATTGACAATTACAGTACTGTAAACATATAGCACAGTTTACTAAAACAGTTTAGTCGTTAATACAGTAGTTATGAATTATTTAGGCTTCCTGTGTTAGGCTTCCCATTGATTGGGCTTCCTGTGTTAACTCTCTCGTAAGCGACCATCTCCCGTAAGCGACCACTTTCTCTTGGCCCCAGGGTGGTCGCTTACGGGAGAGTCGACTGTACTGTATTCATGTGTCTTCTCTTACCCAATTGTTAAACTAAACCAAGGCCAAAGCCAAAACTTATTATCAAAGGCAGATGTCCCTCTGCTGCACATGCCCGGCCCCACATCCCTGCCTGACCCTCCTTCTCTGACCCACACTCCCCCTCTGCCTGACCCTCCTACTCTGTCTGACCCTACCCTTCTGACTGACCCTCCCCCATTGCCTTACCCTCCAATACTGCCTGACTCTCCCCCTCTGCCTGGACCTCTTACTCTGCCTGACCCTCCCCTTCTCCCTGATCCTCCCCTTCTGCCTGACCCTCCTACTCTGNCAAAACCAAAACCAAAACCAAAACCAAAGCCAAAACCAAAACCAAAACCAAAACTGAAACTAAAACTTATTATCGAAGGCAGATGTCCCTCTGCTGCACATGCCCAGCCCTACATCTCTGCCTGACGCAGTCCTTCTCTGGCCTCACACTCCCCCTGCCTTACCCTCCTAATACTGCCTGACCCTCCCCCTCTGCCTTACCCTCCTAATACTGCCTGACTCTCCCCCTCTACCTGACCCTCTTACTCTGCCTGACCCTCTCCTTCTGCCTGAACCTCTTACTCTGCCTGACCCTTTCCTTCTGCCTGAACCTCTTACAAACTCTGCCTGACCCTCCCCCTCTGCATGACCTTCCATATGCCTGACCCTCTTAAAGTTCCTGACCCTTTCCCCTCTGCCTGACCCTCTTACCTGCCTGTTCCTCCCCCTCTGCTTGACACTACCCCTCTGTCTGACCCTCCCCCTATGCCTGACACCACCTCTGCCTGACACTAGTCCCCTTTGCCTGACCCTCCCTCTGTCTACTCTATACTTAGACCCTGGATCTGTTACCATGCACATATTGACAACCTAATTTTGTATACTCTATGCTGTACTGGCACAGAGATCCTGTCACTGCAAGTTATACAATCAAAAAAATTTCATGACTACAGTGGTGTACCTGTCATTTTAATCTTCAGCTGGGGTCGTTCAACTTCAGTGATATTTCTTCCTTCTTGATAATCAAAGACATCATGGTTCCTCTCATGTGTACTAACATGATACGTAACACAATCAAGAAGTGTTTTTCCTAAAATTCAAGAGAAAATAGACCTCATTTAGCTTTGGCATAATTAATGTTTTCCCATTTTAGACCACGTACCATTCCCTAGAGTATCGTTCCTTTGTTTAATGGCTGTGCATGAGAAGACACATGAATATGGAAACAACTTAAACAAAGAAAAAGAAAATCACATGGTCTGAAATAGGAAATCATTGCGTACAAGGAATTTTATTTTAAACCTTATCCAAATTAATTATGTATAATTACAGACCTACATGCATGCATATCAAATCAATCCTTATGCTCTTGGAAACTATTTTTCAAGTTTTTTTTTGCAATAATTTTTAAACAAATTCCCAATATTTTACAGTATAATAGCAAAGAAGTAGGGTTCTCATGTTCCCTGCCTGCCATATGCAGCAGTATGGCAGCACGCTCAGTTGAGACCGTCTCTTGATACATAGTACTGATATGAAAAGGTGCATTTATAAAACCTGTATTAAACCCAAATGAAGATCTTTTTTATTTTTTGATGTTTTATGACAAATTACCCATGACCCATTGATGTTTTATGTATATACCCATGACCCTGCTAATCTGGAACCTTAAAAGGTACGATAAGCACCCCCCCTTTTTCCAGTCAGCATCATACCATAAACATACAAACACTAGCATGAGGGGGGAANCCCCTCTGCCTGAACCTCTTACTCTGCCTGACCCTCCCCTTCTGCCTGAACCTCTTACTCTGCCTGATCCTCCCCCTCTGCCTGATCCTCCCCTTCTGCCTGACCCCTCCCCTCTGTATGACCTTCCATCTGCCTGACCCTCTTAAAGTCCTGACCCTTTCCCCTCCTGCCTGACCCTCTTTCTTTGCCTGACCCTCCCCGTCTGCCTGATCCTCCCCTTCTGCCTGTCCCTCCCCCTCTGCATGACCTTCCATCTGCCTGACCCTCTTAAAATTCCTGACCCTTTCCCCTTCTGCCTGACTCTCCCCCTCTGCATGACCTTCCATCTGCCTGACCCTCGTAAAATTCCTGAACCTTTCCCCTCTGCCTGACTCTCTTACCTGCATGTTCCTCCCCCTCTGCTTGACACTATTCCTCTGCCTCTGACCCTCCCCTTATGCCTGACACCACCTCTGCCTGACACTAGTCCCCTCTGCCTGACTCTCTTACTCCACCTGTTCCTCACCCTCTGCTTGACACTACCCCTCTGCCTGACTCTCCCCCTATGCCTGACTCTCCCCCTATGCCCGACACCACCTTTGCCTGCCACTAGTCCCCTTTGCCTGTTCCTCCCCCTCTGCTTAACACTACCCCTCTGCCTGACTCTCCCCCTATGCCTGACTCTCCCCTATGCCTGACTCTCCCCCTATGCCTGACTCTCCCCCTATGCCCGACACCACCTCTGCCTGACACTAGTCCCCTCTGCCTTACCCTCCCCCTGTCTACTCTATACTTAGACCCTGGATCTGTTACCATGCACATATTGCATAACCTAATTTTGCATACTCAATGCTGCACTGGCACAAAGATCCTGTCACTGCAAGTTATACAATCACAAAAATTTCATGACTACAGTAGTGTACCTGTCATTTTAATCTTCAGCTGGGGTCGTTCAACTTCAGTGATATTTCTTCCTTCTTGATAATCAAAGACATCATGGTTCCTCTCATGAGTACTAACATGGTATGTAACACAATGAAGAAGTGTTTTTCCTAAAATTCAAGAGAAAATAGACCTGTTTAGCTTTGGCTTAGAGTGAAGGCATTTAACCCATGAAATAAAAAAGGCTAGTCAATGTGTAATAAAAAAATTGACACAAAAGAAGACAATGGAATCTAAGGGTCTACTAAAGTGCATTAGTTTAATATCTATTTCATGGGTTTAATGACTTTACTCTAATTAATGTTTTCCCATTTCAGACCATGTGTCATTCCCTAGAGTATCATTTATTTGTTTAACGGCTGTGCATGAGAAGACACATGAATATGGAAACAAATTAAACAAAGGATTTTATTCTCACGACCATGTGTCATTCCCTTGAGTATCATTTCTTTGTTTAATGGCTGTGCATGAGAAGACACATGAATATGGATACAACTTAAACAAAGGATCTTATTTGCAAGAAAATCACATGGTCTGAAAAATTGGGAAATCATTGCACACAAGGAATTTTATTTTAAACTTTATATCCAAATAAATAAATGCATAATTACAGACCTACATGCATATCAAATCAATCTTTATGCTCTTGGAAACCATTTTTCAAGGTTTTTTTGCAATAATTTTTAAACAAATTCCCAATATTTTACAGCTTAATACCAAAAAATTAGGGTTCTCATGTTCCCTGCCTGCCATGTGCAGCAGTATGCATGGCAGCACTCGGTTGAGACCGTCTCTAATATTGATACATTGTACTGATATAAAAAGGTGCACTTACAAAATCTGTATTAAACCCAAATGAATAATCTTTTCTATTTTTTTGATGTTTTATGACTCATTACCCATGACCCATTCCCGGGGGGATTGGGGGGGGGGGGTACTCCACCAGGACTTTGGTAGGGGTGTTCCGCTGGGATTCTGAAAGGGGTATCCTGTTTATGACAAAAGATATAATTAATTGCACTGAGTTCCTGTTTCAATTATGTCAGCTTGCGTATTGTTTTTTTTTTTAAATGATCATTCCTGGGTTCTTGCTTTGCCCACCCCCTGCATATAAAACAACTTACTACTAACCATTACTGTCATTCTCATAAAGATTGATCTTGATTTGGTATGTTATAGGCTCATCTTCTTCCACAGGAAGTATGCACTTTACATTCCTCTGGTAGTTGGGAAGTTGATTCTGTTTTTGATCAGTTGGTGGGAAACAGACAAGGCCATTTGGAGAAATATCCACCTCAATAGAATATGTTCCATTATTCTAAATAAAGAGTTA